TTTAAAGACCATCACGTTGTTCTAAAACAGGGTCAATTTTGAAGATTCTTCTGGTGCGATTCAAATAAAATGGATGGACTCTTTTCACATTTCCAAGGATAGTTGGGACTTGGCGGGAACAGATATAATTTGCTGTTCTCTTACGAGAGGTTCTCTCGTATTGCGTAAGCTAGCTTACGCTACGGGAAAGATTCATCTTTGCTGAGAAGTTGAAGCCAAAAAATTATTCCATAATTTTGTAATCATTGTCAACGCAGTCTCTTCTGAGGCAGACCATGAGCGGGCTAGCTAGCGGCTCATTGGTTCGCTCAGAGAGAATGCACGAACCTATGGGAGAGCGGCGCTGAGTCCGCGGCCAATGAGCGGACGGCGCTCGCTTACTGCGTCACAGCCCGCCAAAAGGGGCGTGGCTACAGTGTATAAAGGTCGCTCTCCCAGCTCGTTCGTTGATTTCTTGTTCATTCAGCGAGCTACACGCATCCGCTGTCCTGGGAAGAAGCCGCCGTCGTTGAGAAGGCACCGTCTAGCGAGCTCCGGAGTCTGAGGAAGCCGGCCGTCTGCCACCTTCAGCCGCCCAGCAAGCTAGCGCCATCCGACGCGTATCCTTTTTACTATTCCATATTCCTAAAAGAGCCGAGCGTCTTTTTCAAGATGCCTCGAATTTCCTGCGGCTCATGCCGCTCTTCACTCGAGGAAGGAGACCGCTTCTGCGTTCTCTGTTTCGGAGTGGAACACGCAGAGCTCGCCAACGGAGGATGCGACCACTGCGAGGACCTGCCTCCGTCTTCCCTGCGGGCTCGACTACAGGCAGTCAGAACCGCTCCCGCGCCGCCTCTCACTTCGCCGCGGAAGAAGAAACGCCGCTCCCAGAGGCCGCCGGAGCCCCTGCGGATCCATGTGGGCCGCCGCCGCCGCCCACCGACCGCTCTCCCTCTCCGCCCCTGCCGGACTTACAGTTGCCGCCGTATGGCCGCTCTGTCGCCTCCGACGACACCGCGGATGAGAAGGACTCTTGTTCGCTGCACCCTTCTGACAGCGAGGATTGGTCGTCGATCGGCTCATCGACGAGAGAGTCTGCGGGGACCCGCGCCGGCATCGAGGAGGATCTATCGCGCCTCCCTTCGCAGGCCTTCAACCGCCTGGGTCTCGAGTGGTCTCCTCCCCCCGAGCAACCACCGAACCGGCGCTCGACCCCCGCCTGCAGCCGGGCTGCACCATTCCTGCCTGAGCTTCACTACGAGCTCACTAAATCCTGGAATGCCCCTCTTTCGGCTCGTATCCGCTCCGAGGGGTCCGCTTCGCTCAGTGGACGGAGCCGCCGAGATGGGTTATACTGCCATGCTGCCCGCGCCTTTGCCGCCGCCGAACAGGCCGCCTCAGCGCTGCATTCCATCCAGGCGCTCCAGAGCGACATCTTGTGCGAGATGGCGAACAGCGGTAGGAACCCGCCCATCCTTTCGGATCTGAGAAGCGCGACGGATCTTCCCTTCGCGCCACTAAAGCCGCCGCACAAGCCCTGGGAAAATGCATGGCCGCCCTCGTTGTCACTGAGAGACACTTGTGGCTCACGCTCACCGATATGGGAGATTCAGAACGCGCCCTGTTCCTCAACGCGCCTATTTCTCCCACCGGGCTCTTCGGATCTGCCGTCACGGGCATCGTTGACCGCTTCTCCGAGGTTCAGAAAGCGACTCAGTCCATGAATCTGTTCTTGCCCCGCCGCTCTAGTTCTTCGACAGGCCGCTCTCACGAGCCTCCTGCCAGAACCCCACAGCAGCGCCCGCCTCAGCAAGCTCAGCAGCCCCAGCGTAGACAGGGCGGCCGCTCTCGCTCAGATAGCCGCCGCAGACAGCCTCCTCCCAGGGGGCCTCGACCCAAGATCGCGCTGAAGCCCGATCAACAGAAGTCTGCCTAGCACAGCTGAGAAAAGGACGGCTTCTCCCGCTGCGGCCGGATCGCCGTAAAAGCCTCGCCCACTGTTAGTCCCCGTCTCACCGCTGACTGCAGTAGTGTTTACCGCCACAAACAAGCCGGTTTCCCTGCCCGCTTGCGAGCGTCTAAAAGCCGTTTTCACGGCTATCCAGAGAGTTCACAAAAGAGCATAAAAGCCTCAAGTGTAATAAATGTGCCCACAAGCATGTGCTCACATACACACTCAAGCACCTTATGCCCAGGGTCTCTCACAGAGCCCATTCTCACGGAGCGTGCACTTTCCGCTCCAGCAGCAGAGAACATAAGCACGCCCACGAGCCCGTGCGCGTGTCCCCCCTCTGCCCGCTCTGTCACACGGCCCATAAAACTCCTCTCTGAGTGTAAGTCCCGTTGCCACCCACATTATGAGCGTGCCCACACACAGTGTCCAGCCCGCGATGTGCAGCTATCAGGGCAAAATCGCCATTCAACCGCTTACGAAGCGTGGGAAGCCATCCCTGGCATCTCCCCGTGGGTTTAAGCATAATAAAAGAATGGTTATCGATTACAGTTTCGTCGCCGCCCGCCACGCTCGCGCGTGCGGCTCGAATCCACTGTCAGCCGCCCGCTATGAACACGCTTCGCTTAGAAATAGCCAAGCTACTGCAGAAGGGCGCTATAGAGAGAGTCCCGCCATCTATGACCGAGTCGGGGTTTTACGGCCGTTATTTTCTGGTCCCCAAGAAAGACGGCGGCCTCAGGCCGATCTTAGATCTCAGGGCTTTGAACAAAGCGCTCATGAAGAGACCGTTCAAAATGCTCACAGTCAGGAAACTCCTCGCGCACGTCCGCCAGGGGGACTGGTTCATCTCTCTAGACCTGAAAGACGCCTATTTTCAGATCCAGATAAACCCTCATCACAGGCCATTCCTACGTTTCGCCTTCGAGGGCCAAGTTTACCAGTATGCCGTTCTCCCGTTCGGCCTATCCTTAGCACCCCGTACGTTCACGAAGTGCATGGATACAGCGCTCGCCCCCCTGCGAAGTCAGGGGCTGCGCATACTGAATTATCTGGACGACTGGCTGATTCTAGCAGATTCCCAGACGGAGCTGCTGTCGCACCGCACAGTTCTCCTCAACCATCTGGAAGCGCTGGGACTCTCTGTCAACTGGACAAAGAGCTCTCTCCAGCCCAGTCAAACTATTTCGTTCCTCGGAATAGATTTGAACTCTATCACGATGACGGCTCGCTTATCCACACAGCGCGCGCGCCGTGTTCAGCGCCTAGCCGCCTCGTTTCAGATGGGTACCCTTACATCCCTGAAATCGCTTCAGAGGATGCTGGGTCATATGGCTTCAGCCTCCGCTGCGCTACAGCTGGGTCTCCTGCACATGCGCCCCCTTCAATTCTGGTTAAAGAGCCGCGTATCCCACCACGAGTGGACGACGGGCCGCCAGATGATCAGGATTACTCAGACTTGTATCACTGCACTGCAGCCATGGGCAGCAAGCGAGTGGTTTCAGAGGGGCGTTACTATGGGAACATTCTCTCGCCGGAAAGTCATCTCGACAGACGCATCCAACTCGGGTTGGGGAGCGGTTTGCGAGGGCTCAC